ACCTCCATCACGAGACAACAGTCTTTCTGACCCCGGTCTCCTGCCGATTACGGTCCTTCCGACCTCCATCACCTATAATGATCCTTCCAACCTCCATCACCAGAAAACGGTCTTTATGACCTCAGTCTCCTGCCAACTACGATCCTTCTAGCCTCTGTCGCCTACTATGGTCCTTCCGACCTACATCGTCAAACAACAGTCTTTTTGACCCCGGTCTCCTGCCAACTACGGTCTTTCAGACCCATCTCCTGCCGACTACTATTCTTCTTATCTGCATCACCTACTATGGTCCTTCCGACCTCCATCACCAGACATTGATCTTTCCGGCCTCCAACCTATCGACTATGGTCATGCCAACCAAACAAACATGTCTATATTGTAACTCCTACCATGTAATGTGCTCTATATGATGTATATTTATATCATCAAGCCAAGGCCTTCTCCCAAGGAAGGGCCTCATTTGTAATCGACTACAAATACTAGTGGATTCATTCAAACTGGGCCAGGCCTCATGATTTTCCCCCCTTTTCAGGGGTTTCCACGTAAAAACTCTGGTGTTTCTTATAAACACTTCACTCTCTCTTATCTGATTGTGTGTTGGATCTTCATACAATGCTAATACGTTAAATTATATATTTCTCTACCGCCGTGAATACTCCAGGATGCAACAAATAAAAATTTATTATTATATTTATCTGATATAAAAATATATTTAAATTCAAGATTAAATACATGTTCCAAATGCCCCTCAAAAGAGGCTTGACTATCATCATTATGACCGACTAACCAGAAATTTTTACTATGCACGTTCCACCTACCAAATCGTGGCTACAACGTCACACCTGTGGGCCCCATTTTTTTCTTCTTCATATTTTGCATCTCACACAAGTCTATGAGGGGTCATTTTAGCAAAATTATTATGTGCGGATGCTGAATGTAATTTATAGATCAATTAAAATGAGTTATGTCACTCTCCACTTGATATCGTTGACGTGACATGTTCTAATTTGTCTCATAATTTATCGTCATTTGAAACGTTTTTTGCGATCTCCTCATCCCATGCATCTGGGAGAATGAAGCCACCCATACAGATTAAAAACAAAAGAAAGGAATAAAGATTTTGCTTCCAGATCTAAAATAAATGCTTTGTGTTGAATATTTTTTTTCTTACCTCCTCGCCTGCTCTTCTCTTCTAATCCTGCCTATCCTGTCCTTTCCCGCTTTCTTCGCCGCCGAGTAAAACTCGAAATGACTGCCGGTGAAAGAATACTTGATTTGGGAAAAAATTTAAAATAGATATTAGTAAAACTTTAATAATGTAATTAAGTATTGAAAAGAATAAATTTAAGAGTAGCCAAAGTCGCCCATCAAACGGGCGACTTATGCTGACTTAGATTTGTTGAGTTATGTGTTAGTCGCCAAACTAACATGCGACTTATCTAAAAAAACATTGCTATTATAAGTTATCCATTAAACGTGAGATTTGCTACAGTAAATTTTGTATATGTATGTATGTATGTATATATATATATATATTCTAACCTCTAAACTTGTGTATTTATAGGCCTACTAGGGGTGCAAACGAGTCGAATCGAGCTCGAGCCAGGTAGTGTTCGAGTCGAGCTCGACTTTCAATTACCGAGCTCTTACCGAGCTCGAGCTCAAGTCGAGCTCAAAATCCGAGCTCAAGCTCGACTCGTCTCATATTTCGAGCGACTCGTCGAGCTCCGCTGTGAACTCCGTCCCGAGTAGGCTTTTCGAGCTCAGGCGAGCTCCATTGCGAACTCCTTTGTCGTCACGAGCTCGCCATTGGCTCCGCTTGTCCGTCGACGAGTTTGCAGTCGCATTCGAAGTCAAGATCCACTGGATCTGATCCTTCCGAGACGTCAAGCTCGCGTTCGTCGTCGAGATCCAGAGCTCGTCGTCGCAGTCGATTCCTGACCTCGTCATTGCGTCCGTCGTCGAGATCCAGAGCTCGTCTTCGCGATCGAGTCCCAACTCCCATTGGATCTGATCCTTCCGCTGTCGAGATCCAGAGCTCATCGTCGCGATCGATTCCCGACCTCGTCATTGCATCCACCATAGAGATCCAGAGCTCGTCTTCGCGGTCGAGTCCCAACTCCCACTGGATCTATTCCTTCCGTCGTCGAGTCCATTGCGGCCGCCGTCGAGTCCCAACTCCCAAGCTCGTCGTCGCGTCTGCTGTCGAGATCCAAAATCGAGACTTGACGCCATTCGTCCGTCGTTGAGATCCAAACTCGACTCCGCTGTCGAGATCCATTCATCCGTCTAGTCTCGAGCTCATCGCCGTTGTCCGCCCAACCTTGATTCATCATCCCGCTCGCAGCTACCCAAAATTTTTTTCTCGCCCAGTCGCACACGCGAGCTACTCGTCGAGCCAACGAGCCGAGTCGGAGGCCTAGTCGAGCTCGAGCTCGATAAGCCATCGAGCTCGAAATGGTGTTTGAGCTCGACTCGTGAGCTCGATAAGCTCGACTCGTCGAGCCAGTTATCGAGTTGAGTTCGAGCCGGCTCGCGAGTCGGATTGACTCGTTTGCACCCCTAAGGCCTACCACCTAAAACATGTTTTGACTTTCTAAAATATCACTTAGTCGATCTTCTACTCCCACCAAAACCCTCTCATACTGCACGAATCGTCGGCTTGCTGTCAGCTGTAGGTGTCTGTTCGCAAGAAACTTCAAGGGCCAACCCATTTCCTTCTCCCTAACGCCGGTCGCCTGCTCTAGCTGAGATCGCCAACCTATCCTAGACGCCGGATCTCCTTCTTTGCAAGGTGAACTCTCCCCATTCATCTCTTTTCCTCCTCCCTATTCTTCTCCTTATGGTCTATTTTGAAATATACTTATTACTCTCAAGTAATCGTTCTTTTTTTTTTTTTTTAATGATTTTATCTATGTATAAGAGTATCTATTTGCTTTGTATTACTCTTCCTAATTAGTCCAAATTTTTTACGTTTGTTGTATCTTTGCATGCTTTGCTTTGTATTACTCCCTATTGTTTTGCCAACGGGCTAATTCCAGGAATTGAAGGATTCGGCCTGTATATTTTAGAAGTGTTGTTTATTAGATGTTTGATAAAATGCCAATAGGAGAATAAAATGGAAAAACAAATTTGTAAGAACAAATTCAGTAATTGGTTTACGTTATTGTATAAAGTCTGAAAGTTCGCTCACATAAAGCTTTTTCTCTTTGAGTTTAATGAGGGGAAAGCCCATTTTTTGTTATGTTGGATATGCATAATAGTGCGGTAGTGGTCGATATGCTCGTAGGGGTCTGAAGTCCCGTCATAAGAATCAGTATTTGGGAGTTTGAATCTTGCCGGAACGGGGTATCGGAGGACAGCTTCGGTGAAAGGTGACGATTCGTGAACGTCTCGTTGGCGAAGGGAGTGTCTTTTACCTCCTGTGGGGAACTCTTCTCGGACTAGCCTCCGCAACTCATCCCGGAAAGTAACCAATTTGATTTGCTTGGGTGGCTTGATTCTCCCTCCTGATTTGATATCTACGATTTCAGCAAATAGTTTTCTATTAAAAATGATATGAAGATCCCATTATCTTGCTTTGGAAGATAACCGGATTGGAAGCCGAGTTGGATTTGTATGCAATGCAGGATGGAATTAGTAGTTCTACATTTATTGGGTGATCCGGGCATTCTTTTGGCTTATATTCATCCCTCAATCGAGTATGAGTGAAGTTCTAGGGCACCAATTTATGGGTTGCCGCGGAGTAGGGAAAATAAGTTGGGGGTTTTCTTTTGTCATGTTACAAGCGTGAGGTCTTGCTTTAGGCGTACGCCAAAACAAAATCATGTTCCGATCAAGTCAGTAATGATACTACAATTGTCTTCATAACCGATTCACTTAAGGTGTTGGACTATGGCGAACTCATTGGTATACTCGCTCAGGAATGAACGTGAATGAAGAACAATCATAAGAAACTCAATCACTGGTTCAAGATGGCAAGCTGGCACTTCAGGAAAAGCGGCCGTTATCGATGGGCAAAATCCGCCGGCAAACATGAATTTTCGATGGTACAATTCAGTTTCTGGAATATTTCTGTCGAAAAGTTATTCGATGGTAATGCGTAGCAAATTTTGTTCGTGCGTCGTAAATTTTGTTCTGTCGAAAAAAAATCGCCGGAAATATTACCGGCAGAAAAACGCAACCAAGACGTCGTTTACTTGGACAGAATTCCGATGTTTTATTTGTCGGAATCTCCAACGAAAAAATTCTGCCATAATTGTGAGTGGATCATCCACCGCCCATCAATTGCCGACGGAATTTTTGAGTCGCAAAATTTTCAAATCTCAATTACATTAGTGTTTGAGTAGCAAACTAGCAATTTGTTATAATCTCAAATATTATCTTCTTTCAGCTTTCCAGCCTAGTATTATTTCTTGCTCTTTAACTGCGCCAAAAATGGCATGGAAGACGGTGCAAGGAACTGCAAGCATGAAACCAACCCAAACCGACTTGACGTTGATGTATAATCTACCCTCTTTTTTTTTTATTTTTTTTGGGAAATGTATAAGACCTAGCTATTTTTTTTTTAAATATATTTATGAATGTTTCAAAATAGTCACAGGTCTTCGAATTAGGTAATATATATATATAAAATACGCATCACATGCATTGGTGCTTATCAAACGAGCTCGTGCTTTTTAAACGAGCTCGATCTTGATATTTTCTAAACGAGTTGATCTCGAGCTCATTAATCGATCTCGATCTCGAGCTCAATAAGGATTAAACAAGCCATGCTTGATAAGGAAAAAACTCGACTCAGACTCGTTTACACCCCTACCTACAGGCTCCCAAACACTCCCCTCCTGGCTCCTTCTTCTTCGTCCAACAGCTGGCCTTGAAGATTGAAGCCAATAAGATGAAAAATCAACGTGCGAGTATAGTCTTCTTCGGCTTTATCATCAGATAAATGGTTTAAGTCTTTCAAATCCTATGTTTCCATTCATTTTCGTTTAGATTACCTGCTTACAGATCACAGTAATATCCTCCTCTCCATAGCACCAAGGGCAGGAGCTATCCTCTGCCAAGTGTCTATCCTGCAGCCAGCAGTTGGTTGGCATTGCACCTAAATATAATCCTCTGATTGTAGAATGAGCAGACAAATTAAAAAATAATTCATAGGAAAAATTAAAATAAGCTCAAGTGAAGTGAATAAAAATTAACATAAACTATATAAAAAAATTCATGTAAAATCTCAAAGCTATTTAAACTCTAATAAAATTATTACTTAGTTTTTAAAATAGAAATTAATTTAATTTACAATGGTTAAAATAAAACCCTAAAAACAGAACCAATACATTAAAAAAAAATGATTAAAAAATGCAAACTCAAACTAATTTTCAATTAAAACAATTATTAGTTAAATGATTTCTAGCTTTTTGCACTTACGGAGAGAGAACATGCTATTGTTTTTCTTTTTTTATACACACATTGCTTTTGGCATAAACAAGGATTAACAGCTAGGGAGGGAGAGAGAGAGAGAGAGACTTAGAGGGACCTTATTTAATAATTTTAAATGAATACAGATAGAGTCAGAAATTTTTGGTATAGGGGACTTTTTTTTTTCCCCAAAAATTTCCCTTTATAGATGTTGGTAGGTAAGACTTGAGAGGAGGATGATTTCTTAAAATGTCTCGATAGACTTTGCTAAAAAACAAGCAACTTGAAGAATGACCCTTATTTATTGCAATATTAGAAGTTCTAAAAGCTATACTTTTGTTTGATTGATTTTGCGCTAATACAAATACGCCTATATAAAGGCAAGAGAATAAAATAATAATGGAAATACAATAAAATAGAATATCCTCAATAATGAAGAAATATTACATGAATAAATATGATGTATTTTTTACTATAAATATTAAGTAAATATTTATTGCGCTCGTGTGCTAAATTTTCATCTTGATCAAATATAAATGAGAATATTTTAACCTAATAGAATTTACTTGAAAAATATTTTCTCAAGATCAGAAGTAACAATGCTGGCAAAAGCTTTACAAAGACAAATAAATATTGAATCATTAATTACAGGTACAAAAGATACAAAAATAATTTACTTAACTTTATTAAGCAGATGATCAACAAGTCTAAGCTCAAGATCCAACTCTCCAATATATATAGGACTTACACCTTTTACCTCATCATACTCAAATTCTTGTAGTTCTAATTCCCCACTCAAATTAAACGACTTAACAAAATAGCAGCTTTGTTTCATGAAACAATTTTGTTTCACAACCCAACATTTTACTAAAGAATGAACCAAAGAATGAACTTCCCAAATGTTATGTATGAAAGAAATAAATTCAACTAAACAACCTTTCTTACCTTTTAGCTTAATTGTGTTGTAATTCGTAAGTCTGAACTTATGTTTTGATGATAATAAATATTATTGGACTTGTATAGTTTCTCATACTTGTTATTATTACATATGTTTTTTCTGTGTATTAATATTTCAAATATAACATACACCAAGAAACGTTAAATGATCAAGGTTCAAGGTTGATTAGTATAGGATTGATTTTTGTAAGAGTTTGTATTTTTATTTTTCTTGAATCAATATATTGTAAAAGGTGTATGTTAGCTTAACAAACGGGCACAGACACGCGGGGCAAGTGAAACACAAGGTTTTAATTTTTCTTGAAGCTCGTATTGGACTATCTTTATCGTACTATATAATATGTTCTTTAAAAAATTAATTAAAATATTTAAATTGAGAAAATGAAAATTGAAATTAAGATGAACTAATCGTACTATATGATTTGTATCGTATAGGTCAATCAGTTTGTAATTAGAAATTCCGCCGCCATTTAATATTAGGCAATATTTTGAAAGAGAAGTCAAGGCATCAGAACATGACTTATAAGTTATAACCGTAAGAACATGCCTTATAAGCATCAAAATATTCCCTGACACATAGAATTTCAAAAGATTTTAGTCCCTTATCTCTCCAAGCAGATATAATTTTATCACACATGCTCATTTTTCCTCATATAATATCAGTTAAATTGTAATTGAGCATGTGTCAAAATTACATAAATTTTTATAACAATACGCAACAAAAATTTCTACTAAGAAAAAATATTCATTTTTAAGAAATAAATAAATTAACATAGATCATGTAGAACATTATTTTAAGACTTTAATGGAACTCTAATATAATTTTTTAGCATCCATATATTTTTTTATTGAATAAAAACCTTACAAATTTCAAAATCTCTATTGTAAAAATTAAAAAAAAAAATATTTAAAATGCTCATAATCTTAATCTCTATAATATATAAAAAATTATGGGGTGAAAGTTTTACCAGTGCAAAGTTATACCTATTTTTCAGTAATGAAAATAAAATTTTAATAAAAAATTTTGATAAAAATTGCGAATTTTAAAAAATTGAGATAAACATAGTGTTACATATCTTGAGACAAACAAATTTCTCAAATTTTGAAGTTGTCAAATATAAAGACTGCCTACCTTTCCTGAACTCTTCAGATATAAATCTACACTTCTTTTCAAAAAAGAAACTACTAGAAGTCTCGCCATTGAACCTCTTCCTACTAATAGTCCACCGCTGCTATGTAGCCGTCAGATCATTCTCTATCAAGCGAGCTATCTCCACAAGCTAAGAGAAATATAAAAAATGAAATGACACCAGAGGCTGTCTCAAACTATCTCGAAGTTTGACCTACCAGTTTTTTACCCGACCCGATTTTGAATTAAAGTCACTTTTTTCCGAACTTGACCTGGTTCGAGTTAGTTAAGCCGATTCAACTCGAAATATAATACATTAATTAAATTTGAAAAAAAAGTACATATATGATTCATTAATATTGCAGCAACATATATTGACATTCGGCAAGTGACAATAAGTAAATTTCATTATAAACTTTACAATTTTTACATTTTTACATAATACATTATAATTAAACTCAAATTACATAATAACTTACGAGCTCAAATTATAACTTACAAGCTTATATTACAAACTAAATAATCTAAAACTACAAACTCAAATATACAAATTATAACTTATAACTTACAAACTCAAATTACAACTTACAAGCTCAAACTCTTACTCTTCAAGTTGAATTAACAGCAAAAGGAAGATTGTTAAATACTTAAAAAGTATTAAACATATATAATTTTAAATTATGATTTATGGGATAGTACAACTAGAAAGCTTTAATGAATAACGCCTCCAACTCGTTCAACAATTAGTGAAAAGTGAGTAAGCAATGCATATTTGATATTTCTAATTCTCTATTAACATCCGGGGTGGCAATTTACATTAATCTTAATTTAGTATATGTTAGATAATACAGTATATGCTCTTAATCTAAGCTAACATCTATTTTTACATTTTCATGTTTAGTATTTATCCCCTCCATTGACCACAAATACAAAGACACAAAGAGGTAACAAAGCGGTAAGCCCTAAAAATCAGTGATGATTGATGCCAACTAAATCCACTCGAATTTGTACAATTGTTTAATAGCAGAACTGAAAAACCCTAAAATATGCAAAGCCCTAAAAAATCAAATTGAAATAATGAAAAAAAAAAGACGCCCTAACTGGCATATCAAAGGCTCTAAGCTATCAAATCTCAATGCAAAAAGCTAAAGACTGAAAAAACCAAAACCCTAACTTATTTAAATTGGAAGGAATAAATCTCTAAACCGAAGGTGTGAATAACCCTAAAACCTAAATGGAAGAAAAAAAAAATAAATGATAATACCACAAAAGGATAGAGTCACACAACACACTATAGGATTAAGATAGAGGATCAAATGAGATGTTGAGACTTGAGTGCTCTGGGCAGGTCTCAGAAGTCAAGAGGTGGATGTGAGGAAGGTAGAAAACCAGAACCAGAGAGGCAAGAGCTGAGAGCGTCGAAGACTTGAAAACTCAAAATGAAATAATGAATAGGCTAAATCGCTAAACCTAAATCAACGACCCAAGAATCAAACATTTGAGTGTTCGAGTGGTCATGACTCACGAGTCATTAGTAACATACGCGTGCCAAAGCTGATCAAAATTAGGTCTAAATTAGGTTTCTGGATTGATCTGAACTTAACCCAAAAATTGAAATAGGTTGGAAATCCAGACTCAAACCCCACCCATTCTTAAATCGGGTTGACCCTTACCTGAAAAAATTCATACCGAGTTTGAGTTGAGTTTTGAGTTGGACTATACGTTATATTTATTTGATTTCAAATTAAATAAAAAATATTCAGTTGCATTTATTTTACAATCATCCAAACAATGTCGAAAATATTTCTTTTGCACTCTTCTTTTTACGCTGCATTCCTTTTACATTATATTTATTTTTTAGTAAATCAAATAGCCCCTAAGTAATATTATTATCAAAGTAGCCTAAAATCAAATAACTCGATTATTATATTCTACACCACAGTGCTATGTGATGCCACAACACTATGTGTTTGAGCACCCCAACATCATTAGACTAAGGCTTGGGCTCCGCAATGCTTAAAACTAGCTCCACAATGCTTTGATCCGTACCAGACAAATTTCTTTCTCATTTTTCTCAAGGGTTGCGTCCCTTGGAGTTATTAACTTGACGTTCTCTTGTATTGTGAGTGGTTAGAATAGTAGAGAGTGAGAACGGTGCATGTAAGAAGAGAAACAAGGAAATAAAGAGAGAGAAGAGATATATGTACTTATTTCTCTAAACTTTTATAGTAAATTTCTTCGTGTGGTGTGACCCTGTGGTTTTTTCCTAGTTTGAATTTTTTCATATTAAATTCTGGTGTCCTTTACTTTCTGCTGCTTTTACTTTATCGTTTGTTTCATCGAGGTGTTTTGCTTTCATCCCCAACATATATAAATATTAATGAAATTAAAATAATGCAAAAAAGCCTTGAATAGATGAAATTAACATATTTCTTAAATCAATTGAACCCACAAGGCCAAGTTATTACAATGTTGAATTAAATGTTGGCCTGGAGGTGTCACAAGAGCAACATAGATTATCAACTTTATAATAACAAGAAGAAAAATGCTATAACCAACATTCATTAACAAGAGCTCTATCTAGTTTAATATGAAAGGGATTGCTACTTTGTTGATCAAACAAAATATAAAAATGACCAGTAGAGATAAGATCATGAACGCTAATAT